AGTGGTGGGCGGGGAGACTTTAATGTTCCTTACTTGGTGGCATCCATGGGCTGAAAGCTATGATGGCTATTCTAATGGGCATGCAGTGATACGTGTCCTTGTGGTTTCCCTAATGACTAATGAGTTTTTAAGTTCTTCATATATTCTATATACTAACTCTTCGTCAGATATATGGTTTGCAAATATTTATTCCCATTCCATAGGTTGGTTTTCACTTTGTTGGTAGTTTCTTTTGCTGTGCAGCAGCTTATTAGTTTGATGTAGTCCCATTTGTTTATTCTTTAGTTTGTTGCTTATGCTGTAGGTGTCATATCCAAAAATTCATTATCAAGACTCATCACAAGGAGCCTTATTCCTATGTTTTCTTCTAGGAGTTTCCTTGTCTCAGGACTTACATTTAAGTCTAATTCATTTGAAGTTAATTTTTGTGAGTCTAGTTTCATTCTAACACATGTGAATATCCAATTATCCCAAAACCATTGATTGAAGAGACTGTCTTTCCTTCCTTGAGCACTCTTTGTTCCCTTGTCCAATATTAGTTGTCCCTATATGTTTGGGTTTATTTCTAGGTTCTCAATTCTGTTTCATTGGTTTATTTGTCTGTATTTATGCCAGTACCATACTGTTTTGATGACTATAGCTTTATAATATAGCTTGAAATCATGAAGTGTGATGCTGCCTGCTTTGTTCTTTCTCAGCATTTCTTTGGCTATTTGGGGTCTTTTGTGGCTCCATATAAATTTTAGGAGTGTTTTATCTACTTCTGTAAAAATGTCATTGCATTCTCCATAAGGATTGCATTGAATCTATAGATAGCTTTTGCTAGTATTGACATATTAACAGTGTTAATTCTTCCAGTCATGAACATGAGTTAGCTTTCCATTTATTTGTGTCTTTGATCTCTTTCATCAATATCTTATAGTTTTCATAGTAGAGAACTTTCACTTTTTCAGTTAAATTTATTCCTAAATATTTTATTGTTTTTGATGCTATTGTAATTGGGTTGGCTAACTGAACATAAAAAAAAAGACAACAAAGAGCTTAGCCAGCTTTAGAGCTGCTCTCCCACTGTGCTCAGGCAAGAAATCTAATTTGTAGCTGCACTCATCACTGAATACAGCCTTCAGCTGTCCAGCCAAAGAATCTAACCTGAGCACACTGGAAGCTGCAAAGCCCGTCTACCAGCCCAGCCTACTAAACCATATGATCAAATTATTATTATGTACCTTATTTAATTAATGATAATTGATCAAATAAATCCCTATTCCATGTCTATAAAAAGGCACAAAAATGAAAAAGATATAGTTTTCATAGGAGTTTTTCATCTCTGGGAGATACAGACTGATGATGCAAGGCAGTGAGAGATGATGGGCTAGAGATGGTGGATTAGTGCTGTTTAGTCTGAACACAGAAAACTAGTCAACCTGGTGGCATCAGATGGAAATATTGTGGTGGTGTGTCTCCTATTTTGGAAGTTTATTGATGGTTAAGATTGATATTTGGGAGTTCCAGCCGAAGCTGGGGATGGGGTTGCCAAAGAGATGATGGCATACTACCCAATTACTCCTTGGCTTCCCAGCTCTTTCAAAAACAGGTTATTTTCTCCAAACAAAATGTCAGTTCTTCAAAGTACTTTGGCTTTTTAAAATTTCTTATATCTTAGTGACTATATTTTGAAGGAAGAGACAACAGTCATATCCCCAAAGAATTAAAAAAACAACAACTATACCATCATAAGACAGGGGAGTGTGGCAATAGCAGCATAAGACTCAAGGGTTTTGGTTGATAATAAAATGAAATTAAATGCCAATATTTTATAGATTAATTGAATCTTTTTTATTATTAGATGTTTCATATTCCAAATAAAGATGATTCTTTTGATCTACTCTACATTTGCAGATGACACTAAAAATGAATGCACCCATCCTTAAAATATTAAGTTTTCCAACACTGAAAATGTTCCAACTAAAGCATCATGATCCTCTTCTACATAAAGGGGATTCTTGGAATGGTTGGTAGTGATTGAGGGCAATTCCAAAGCCCTCCAAATCTGATTTATATAATCTTACAGTTGATATGGACCTATATTTAGCATGAGGTGACTTCTTATTGAAAAAAGGAGACAAACTATGAGACAAACAAATCAGACACAGGTGATGGAATTCCTCCTTCTGGGACTCTCTGATGACCCCCACACCAAGAAGCTGCTATTCATTTTATTCCTGGGCATCTACCTGGTCACTGTGCTTACAAATCTGCTTCTTATGTGCCTTGTTCAGGGTGACTCCCGGCTTCACACACCCATGTATTTTTTCCTCTGCAACTTATCTCTGGCTGACCTCTGTTTTTCTACCAACATCATTCCTCAGGCCCTAGTCCACCTGCTATCCAAGAAGAAGTTCATTTCATTCACACGTTGTGCAGCTCAACTTATACTCTTCCTCATTTTTGGATGTACACAGTGTGCCTTTCTGGCTGTGATGTCCTATGATCGGTATGTGGCCATCTGCAACCCCTTGCATTACCCTAGCATCATGACTTGGAAGGTGTGTGCCCAGCTGGCTGCAGGATCATGGACCAGCGGCATTCTGGTGTCTGTGGTGGATACCACTTTTACACTAAGGCTACCCTACCGAGGCAGCAATAGTATTGCTCATTTCTTTTGTGAGGCCCCTGCACTGTTGATCCTGGCATCCACAGACACCCACACTTCAGAGACGGCCATTTTCCTTGTGGGTGTCATGATTCTCCTCATACCTGTTTCCCTAATTCTGGTGTCCTATAGCCACATCATAGTAACTGTGATCAAGATGAAGTCGGCTGTGGGGAGGCTCAAGGCATTCTCCACCTGTGGCTCCCACCTCATGGTGGTCATCCTTTTTTATGGATCAGCAATTGTCACCTACATGACACCAAATTCTTCCAAAGAACAGGAAAAACTGGTGTCTGTGTTCTATGCTGTGGTGACACCCATGCTTAATCCCCTCATCTATAGCCTGAGGAACAAGGATGTGAAGGGAGCTCTGAAGAAAGTAGCCACAAGGAATTTCCCATGCAGGCTTGAAATCTGCCACTGACTGTGAGAACCTCTTGGCTCCCTACTTATAAGACTTGCAAAGTAGTTGCCTTAGCAAGATTGGAATATTGTAAGATTCTTATCCTTGGGCCTTGTGGACCTACCCTCCATCCTTCATCAAGCACTTTCTTTGTAAAAGAAGGACAGTAATTCACAGACCAATAGAAGGAGGGTCTGGTTTTTTCTTGTTGTTTTTTTGGCATCTAAGAGTTAGGAAATCCTGCAAAATACATTCACACTTTATGAACGCTGGAACCTCTAAAATCCATCTTTTTTTCTTTCTTTTTTTTTTTTTTACCATGTTATATATTACTATTAATCTATCCCAGATCCTACTCCAATTCTTTTTTCTTTGGCATTTCTGAATCTCTTTGCATCATCACATAATCAATATATTAACAAGCATTACTTATTCACTTACTATGAGCTAGGTGCTAGATGTATGTGTGCCAGCACACGTGTCTGTATGTGTGTTTGAAGTGGGTGTGAAGAGCATGGGTACAATGAAGAGCATATATGAGTTCTGCTGTCCTTCTCACACTCTTATTAGGGACATGGATATTTTATATCTCAGATAAAGGTAAAGACAGGATTTCGGAAACTAACAAGAAATAGTGACATTGGAAGGCTAGCAAGAATGAGAAAGAAGCTGGTACCAACCCTGGGCCTGAAGGACAACCTGGACTTGGAGAGGGTAGCTGTATATAGAAAGCCATGAGACAGGAGTTGTGGACTTAGGTGTATGGAAGCGGGAAAGCCACAGGAATAAATATTTCAAGCTCATTCTCTACTTACCTTCTGATATCCTGTTACTGTATTCCAAATAAAATCTAGGATAACCTCCCCATCTGAAAATTCTGTCTACAAAGTCCTTTTCCTGGTTAAGTAACATGTTTATAGGTTCTGGGGTTTAGTACATGGACATCTTGGGGGACCATTATTCTGCCTACCATAAAAGAACAAGTAAAGTACATGTGAAGGAATGATTAAAGTTTGGCTAAAATTGGAGATTATAAATGTATAATGGTGCCAATCTACTTAGTTATGTGATTGCTATCATCAAACAGAACCCCAGGAGCTACATTTTCATTTGCAAATTCTTATAGTGATAATTCAGAATGTGCTGACTTTCTAGAGCCCCTGCTACATGAAAGGTGAAGGGTACACTGTGTGGGAGATTGAACTGGTCCTCGTACCTCCATGGGACACAGAGTTAGAGTTATTTATAGTTTGTGGAGAGGACATGCCTATGCAGTAAATGCTTTTTTATTGTTAATTATCAATAAATTCTTACGAATAATTTATACATATCTATGGTGTCCACACCCCAAGTTTGCTATTTTTCAAGAATCCACAGTTGGCCTATGTTCACTGGACAAAATCATAAAGATGGGCTGCTACGCTGGTTGAGTACTAGGCAAGTTTAAGAAAGACAGTTGATTTCATCTAACCCGAATATGATTACATAAAAATCTAGTTAACAACGAATCTTTGGGTTATTCACAGCAGTTTCCTAGAATTTTGTCCACTTAAATTGGGATGCCTAACACCCTTTCCATCAAACAATTCTCATATCCAAGGTGAATAATCTGAGATTGAGGCAGTGTCTGTGTGGAGTAGTCTTTCTCCAGATGAGGCACAGACCAATTATGGTAGCAGAGGAAGAAGTCCTCATTTGCTAGCCTAGTAGTACATGGGTACTTTATAGGCCAGTGGAAGTTTTTAAGTATTGTTTTATTGTTTTCTTTCTCACTAGAATAAAATTCCACAAGGTAAGAAATTTGTGTATTTTATTCAGCACTGTGTCTTCCGGGCCTAAACAGGGTCTGACACATGCTGAATGCTGAATAAAAATGTATTGAAATTGTGAGTTCAAAAAAATGAGTGGAAGAATGACACAAAACTCTACTATTTATTATCACCATTGTCATAAGTTTATCTTGTAAGCAAAAAGATCCTTGAAAGTTGCAGGAGAATTTTTGGACAAATAGAAAATGTAAAGCAGGAGATTATAAAAAAAATGGATGAAGAAGTTCAAGAAAAGTTAAAACAAGTAAAGAATGGCAAATTGTAGTATTGTCACTACAATTGTCAACCTTCACATTAGCTCCCAATCTGTGTAAACTAGCAGCATCCTCAGATATGTTGGTCCCACAGTCCTACAGAATCCTGGGCCTACAGAAGTTCTCCTTCATCACTCATGTTCTTTCATTCAGAAACAGGTACTTGTGAAGTCCAAAATCCTGGGGTGTATATCATGGCTCTTAGAATGAGTAGGGACCAAAACCCATTTGAGCAGTTCTTTTTTCTTTCCCTTGTCCTTGCATTCTACCCCTTTGGTTTGCATCTCAGTCAGTCATAGTTTCTGAGGGCCCAGGGTCCTGTGGATGATTCGCCTCAGTGCAGCCTTCACTTCACTATTCCTTAAGCTGTAGATGATAGGGTTCAACATGGGAGTCACCACTGTGTAGGAGAGAGTTTCTTGCTCTCAGGAGAGGTGCTGGATCGGGGTCGGAAGTATGTGAGGATCGCAGTGCTATAGAAGACGGAGACAACCAGGAGTTGGGAGGAGCAGGTGGAGAAGGCCTTGTGTTTCCCCTCAGCTGAGGGCATCCTGAAGACAGTGGAGAGGATCCAGACATAAGACCCCAGGATCAGCAAGAAAGGGAAGAGAATGAATAAGACAGTGGCTGTCAGAGCCTCCAGTTCAAACAGAGAGGTATCAGCACACACCAGGGCAATGACAGGTGGGCTGTCACAGAAAAAGTGGTTCACTCTGTTGGGGCCACAAAAAGGGAAGCTGAAAATCCATGTGGTTTGCACAGTGGCCACTGGAAACCCTGAGAACCAGCAGGCAGCTGCTAGCTGGGCACAGGCCCTGCAGCTCATAATGATTGGGTAGTGCAAAGGGTCACAGATGGCCACATAGCGGTCATATGCCATTGTGGCCAGGAGGCAGCACTCAGCAGCCCCAAAGAAGAAGAAGAAATACATCTGAGTGGCACAGCCAAAGAAGGAGATGGCTGTGTCTTGGATGATCAGAGTCCCCAGCATCTTGGGCACAATGACCAAGTTGAAGCCTATCTCCAGGAAGGACAAATTCCTGAGGAAGAAGTACATAGGATTTTGTAGAGAAGAGTCAGTTGTAGTGACCAGGATGATGAGAACATTGCCCATTAGGGTAATCAGGTAAATAGTCAAAAAAAGGAGAAACAATAGAGCTTGTAGCTCAGAGGACAAGGTTGAAAAGCTCACAAGAATGAACTCATTGACAATTGTCCAGTTTTCCCACGTCATTCTTCTGCCTAGGATTTCATTGGGAATTCATGCTTCAGAAGTTAGAAGTCTCCATATGTTATTTAGACCTCTATTATACCCTTAAAAAGAAAATCTCCCGTGGCCTCATTCTCCACCTCTCTTGTTCAAATGGTTCAATCAAAAAGCTGGTTCAAATGGTGGTTCAAATCAAAAGCTGTACCTTCTGGAGGAGATTATGCTAAGTGAAATAAGTCAAGCAGAGAAAGTTAATTATCATATGGTTTCACTTATTTGTGGAACATAAAGAATTGCATGGAGGTCATTAGGAGAAGGAAGGGAAAAATGAAAGGGGGGAAATTGGAGGGAGAGATGAACCATGAGAGACTATGGACTCCAAGAAAGAAACTGAGGGTTTGAGAGGGGAGGGGAGTGGGGGGATGGGTTAACCCAGTGATGGGTATTAAGGAGGGCACATACTGCATGGAGCACTGGGTGTTATAAGAAAACAATGAATCATGGATCACTACATCAAAAACTAATGATGTATTGTATGGTGACTAACATAACATAATAAAATAAAATTTTTTTAAAAAAACTGTACCTTCCACAATGTAAAAAGATAAGTCTGTTCTTTAGATTCACGATATTTTGGAAGAATCCTAACCTGTTTTCAGAGTGAACTGAGGCACACCATATATATCTATACAGTCCTTGATTTTTCTTTGCTCTACAGAGTTCAAAATCACAGCTTCCCTTTGGGGTTCCTAAGAAGCCAGGCCAAGAATTTCTGAAGAGAGGGGTCTTAATGCACAATGAAAGGTGGTGAGGTCATCCAGGGTATATTTTCTGCAAAATGAGAGTAGGAAAGAAAAAGTCAAGGAAAGTGAACCAGCAGTTACCAATGATCCATGAGGAGGAGACTTGAATGTGTCCTAATCTCAATCAGCCCACACTCACAATGATTTCAGTATACTGGAGGAATCTTCAATATATTAGAGTATTTCTTCATTTCCAAACTCAGAATATGACAGTTTACACAAGGAGACATGGAATATAGAGACTGTGGTTTATTTTGATTCCTGGGTTAAATATACTTGATGTGGCTGTATGTGATCAGAAAAGGGAACACAGACTCAAGATAGTGTCAGACCATAGAAAGAATCCAGATGTACTACATATAAACCCCTTCATCAGCTTTTGTTTGCCTTGTGTCTTGAATTTCAAGAAATATGAGCTCAAGTGTTACATGTTAATAAAGACCAACTCAAAAAATAGACTAATAATATTAAATCCTGTGAGAAAGAAGCAGAAGGTTTAATCAATACAAATTGAAAATTGGGACCCTGAAATTCTGATGATTATAAACTTACATGAAGGAATATATCTAAAGCACTTGCATGGTGACTGGTACATAACACATGCTAACCATAAATGCTAACCATTATAGTTATTATGATATAATGCTAGATCTAGCTTTCAAAATCTACTCCTTTTGTTTTTTAAGATTTTATTTATTTATTTATTAGAGAGAGAGAGAGAATGAGAGAGAGAGCATGAGAGCGGGGAGGGTCAGAGGGAGAAGCAGACTCCCCGCCGAGCAGGGAGCCCGATGCAGGACTCGATCCCGAGGCTCCAGGATCATGACCTGAGCTGAAGGCAGTCGCTTAACCAACTGAGCCACCCAGGCGCCCCTCAAAATCTACTTCTTGTCTAACCTATTTCCCAAACTCAAACTCACTATAGTCCTTACTTTTCAATCGCTAGAAGAAAAGCATAATTCATTAATATTGATTATCTTCTGTGTTCCAGGCACTGTTCTAGATACTGAAGATAATATATCTGTAAATAAAATGAACAAAATCTCTGCCCTAGAGGACCCCTCCCAAGATCAATGAGAACAGACCAACGCCCCGACATATAATAGTACAACTTACAAATCTTAGATTCAAGGATATAATCCTGAAAGCGGCTAAGGGGAAGAGATTTCTTTTTTTTTTTTTTTAAGATTTTATTTATTTATTTGAGAGAGAGGATGAGAGGAGAGAGAGAGCACATGAGAGGGGGGAGGGTCAGAGGGAGAAGCAGATTCCCCGCTGAGCAGGGAGCCCGATGTGGGACTCGATCCCGGGACTCCAGGATCATGACCTGAGCCGAAGGCAGTCGCCTAACCAACTGAGCCACCCAGGTGCCCGGGGAAGAGATTTCTTACATACAGAGGGAGGAACATCAGATAATGTCAGACCTGTCCACAGAGACTTGGCAAGCCAGAAAGGGCTGGCAAGACAAATTCAGGGTACTAAATGAGAAGAACATGCAGCCAAGGATACTTTATCCAGCAAGACTGTCATTCAGAAAGTATGGAGAGAAAAGGAGTTTCCAAGACCATCAGAAACTGAAGGAATATGTGACCACCAAGCCAGCCCCGCAAGAAATATTAAGGGGGGTTCTATAAAGGAAGAAAGACCCCAAGAGTAATATAGAACAGAAATTTACAGAGACAATCTGTAGAAACAAGGACCTCACAGGCAACATGATGACAATAAAATCATATCTTTCAATAATCACTCCCAATGTGAACAGCCTAAATGCTCCCGTGAAATGGCACAGGGTTGCAGATTGGATAAAAAGACATGAACCATCCATATGCTGTCTACAAGAGACTCATTTTGAACCTAAAGATACATCCAGACTGAAAATGAGGGGATGGAGAACTATTTTTCATGCCAATGGATCTCAAAAGAAAGCTGGAGTAGCAATTCTCATATCAGACAAATTAGATTTTAAGCTAAAGACTATAGTGAGAGATACAGAGGGACACTATATCATTCTTAAAGGGTCTATCCAACAAGAAGATCTAACAATTGTAAATATCTATGCCCTCAACATGGGAGCAGTCAGCTACATAAGCCAACTGTTAACCAAATAAAAGAAAAGAACCAAAATAAAGAAACATTGATAATAATACTTTAATAGTAGGAGACCTCAATACTCCACTCTCAGCAACAGACAGATCACCTAAGCAGATCAACAAAGAAACAAGAGCTTTAAATGACACACTTGACCAGATGGACTTCATAGTTACATACAGAACATTCCATCCCAGAACAACAGAATACTCATTCTTCTCAAAAGCACATGGAACTTTCTCCAGAATAGACCACATACAGGGTCACAAATCAAGTCTCACCCAATACCAAAAGACTGAGATTATTCCTTGCATACTCTCAGACCACAGTGCTTTGAAACTGGAACTCAATCACAAGAAAAAATTTGGAAGGAATTCAAACACTTGGAAGCTAAAGACCACTCTGCTCAAGAATGTTTGGGTCAACAAGGAAATTAAAGAAGAACTTAAATTATTCATGGAAACCAATGAGAACGAAAACACATCGATCCAAAACCTATAGGATACTGCAAAGGGGGAAATACATAGCCATCTAAGCCTCACTCAAAAAAGTAGAAAAATCCCAAATGCACAAGCTAACCTTACACCTAAGGGAACTGGAGAAAGAAAACAAATAAAACCTAAAATAAACAGGAGAAGAGAAATAATAAAGATTAGAGCAGAGATCAATGACATAGAAACCAGAAAACAGTAGAGCAGATCAATGAAACTAGAAGCTGGCTCTTTGAAAGAATTAATAAGATCAATAAACTTCTGGCCAGACTTATCAAAAGAAAAGAGAAAGGACCCAAATTAATAAAATTATGAATGAGAGGGGAGAGATCATGACTAACACCAAGGAAATAGAAACAATTATTAGAAATTATTATCCAAAAAAGAAAAAAAAAGAAATTATTATCCAGCAACTATATGCCAATAAATTAAGCAACCTGGAAGAAATGGATGCCTTCTGGGAAACCTGTAAACTACCAAGAGTGAAACAGGAAGAAATTGACAATCTGAATAGACCAATAGCCAGTAACGAAATTGAAGCAGTGATCAAAAACCTCCCAAAAAACAGGAGTCCAGGGCCTGATGGATTCCCAGGTGAATTCTACCAAACATTTAAAGAAGAAATAATACCTATTTTCCTGAAGCTCTTTCAAATAATAGAAACAGAAGGAAAACTTCCAAACTCGTTCTATGAGGCCAGCATTACCTTGATCCCAAAACCAGGCAAAGACCCCATTAAAAAGGAGAATTACATATCAATATCCCTAATAAATGGATGCCAAAATTGTCAACAAGAGCCTAGCAGATAGGATTCAACAATACATTAAAAGGATTATCCATCATGACCAGGTGGGATTTATTCCTGGGATGCAAGGGTGATTCAACTTTCGCAAATCAATCAGCGTGATAAAACACATTAATAAAAGAGACAAGAACCATATGATCCCCTCAATTGATGCAGAAAAAAGCACTTTTTCAAAATACAGCATCCTTTCCTGATTAAAACTCTTTAGAGTATAGGGATAGAGGGAACATTCCTCAATTTCATAAAAACCATCTATGAAAAGCCCACAGTGAATATCATTTTCAGTGGAGAAAACCTGAGAGCTTTTCTCTTAAGATCAGGAACACGACAAGGATGTCCATTCTCGCCATTACTGTTCAACATAGTACTTGAAGTCCTAGCAACAGTAATCAGACAACAAAAAGAAATAAAAGGTATTCAAATTGGCAAAGAAGAAGTCAAACTCTCTCTCTTCACAGGTGACATGATAATTTATGTGGAAAACCCAAAAGACTCCACCCCCAAATTACTAGAACTCATAAAGCAATTCAGTAATGTGGCAGGATACAAAATCAAAACACAGAAACCAGTTGCTTTTCTACACACTAACAATGTAACTGTAGAAAGAGAAATTAGGGAATCGATTCCATTTACAATAGCACCAAAAACCATGATACCTAGGAATAAACCTAACCAAACAGGTAAATGATCTATACTCTAGGAACTACAGAACACTTATAAAAGAAATTGAAGAAGACCCCCAAAAATGGAAAAATATTCCATGCTCATGGATTGGAAGAATAAACATTGTTAAATATCTATGTTGCCCAGAGCAATCTATACCTTCAATGCCACCCCGATCAAAATTCCAATGGCATTTTTCAAAGTGCTGGAAAAAACAATCCTAAAATTTGTATGGAACCAGGAAAGACCCCAAATCACCAAGGAAATGTTGAAAAAGAAAAACAAAGCTGGGAGCATCACGTTGTCTGATTTCAAGCCATATTACAAAGCTGT